TAGGTTTAATAACTTGTTATTTTCTTTTTTTTAATTTTCCTTTTTTTTAGAATAATAATATTATTTATTTATTTTCATAAATTTAAAAATGCACATAAATTAATTTAGAATTAAATTAGGTTAAAAGTCAATATTTTCATAATAAACTTAAAAGACATCAGAACTAGGATTTTAATTTTAATTAATTTTTCTTTTTTTTCTTTTAAATCTAAAAAACACAAAAATACCATTTTTCATTTAATTTTAATTTTAGATAACTTAATTATTTTAATTCTTTTAAAGGGTTCAACGCCCTCGCATTTGATTATTTTCTTTTTGCGCGTTTCATTTATTTCTTTTGTAAATAATTATGTACTTGTACCAAAGCCATGTAATAGCTATTAGACATTTCTTTTCTGCAATTTATTTTAAAATGGGTCTGGATTAATTTGGCGTTGTAGACCCTCGCCCTTTGTAATAGCGTAGGACTTTTATCTTTTCCGCACTTTAAATTCCCGTACTTTTAACTGTTAAACAATAACATGAAAGAATGAATGCCCAAAAATAAAATCGAATCGTTAGATCACCAATGCACGACAAGACAAACAATAAACTGAAAATGATACACAATTCGCACACACCACCCCTAGGGTACGCCTCACTGTTGCCTTTCGAAAGGTGATCATCGAGTAGAGGATATTTTAGTAAGTCCTTATGTTCCATTGATCTAGTCGCCTCGAAACAAAGTTGCCTCGAATAAGTTGCCTCGGAATAAAAGATCAATGGCATAAGGGTAGCTTCTAAGGTGTCTTCCCATTGCTCTGGTGATCACCATGTCCCTAAACCTCGAATTGACCCGAACACCTCCAACAGTGGTGCTACCTACCTCTCAATGGTGGGATGGCACTACTTTAAAGGACATTTACACAGACGAATTCCTTAGGGTAGGTAGGTTCTCGTGGATACTTGCTCTCTTCAAAACAAAATCAAAACATACTTTTCACACCGACACCTTTCAAAAGCTTTCAAAGCAAATTTTTCAATACTCTGACGTACGAGTCGAACTGAAATTTTTCAAAGAAACTTTTTAAACCCACATTGAAAAGCAAACAAACATTTTTGAAAACACTATGAGCAAGTATCTAAGAGCCCATGGATAACCATGGATAGAAAGGGTGCTAACACCTTCCCTTTCTATAACCTACCTCCCGAACCGAGAGCAATCTCTTTAAAGGAATTTTTCTGTGCTTTTGTCCTTTCCATTTGGAGAAAATAAAAGACGGTGGCGACTCTTGCTTCCGCGACATTTCGCGAACCAGCGTTAAACAGTCAGTTCCAGATCCACCGATCACATTATGCTTGGTCAAAGTTCAGTTGACTTCTCCTAAGGAAACCCTAATTTGGCAATTTTTTTACTTTTGATGATTTGAGGACATTCCTTGAGGAATCATGATCAACCCTTGATCAAATGATAAATATCACTTCAAATGTTGATGTTGACCAAAAATCTTAAAGTTTGACTGTATGTTGACCATAATTGACTTTTTACCCAATACAGTTGATTTTTAATCATTTGAGTCATTGACTGAGCAAACTTGTGATGCAAGACTTGAAACATGACATGAGCACTATTGAAGACCTATGATGAACCATGGAAACTATTTGAGACCTTTTAAACCCATTCTTCCTTGTGCAAGATGAAACCCTAGTTGTGGATCCTTTGCTTAGGAGGAGGTTTGACTAGTCAACCCTTGAGTAGCTTTGAGTACTTGAGACCTTTGTGCGCATGTCTTGAAGAAAAATGGGAGGGAAAATTTTGGGGTACAACACTCTTGAATATTTATCCCAACAATTTCAAACTTTTATGTCCAGTAATGATATTCTCCACCAAACATCTTTCCCTCATACACCTCAACAAAACGGGGTAGCCGAGCGCAAAAATCAGCACCTTGTAGAAACCACTCGGACCATACTTCTCCATGGTAATGTTCCACTTTGGTTTTGAGTAGACATTATGCTAACGGAATGTTACCTTATAAATCACATGCCACCATATGTCCTTAACAATAAAATCCCCCATTTAATCATTTTTCCCCATTTCCCCTTCACCTAATTCCTCTCAGAGTCTTCGGATCTACATGTTTTATACACAATCTCTCTCTTGGTCTTGATAAACTATTGGCTCGATCACTAAATTATGTTTTTCTTGGTTATCATCGATCCCAAAAAGATTATTGTTGCTATGCACATACCCTGCGATGATACCTCATGACAATCGATGTCACCTTCTTCGAGTCTGTTTCATATTTCGAGTTCAGTCAAGTAACTCTGAAACCCCTTCAGGAGAGTACCCCACACCTCTTCCAGAAGTCCCATTCATTATCCTTCATCATTCTAGGGAACCTGACCCACTAGATAAACTTACGGTTGACCCCCGACTTCTCGTACACTTCGAACATATCAGCGTCGTCAACCAACGTCTGTCATACTTGTCCCTGAGGTTGTACCTTCCCCTGAGGTCGTACATGTCCCTGAGGTTATTGCAGACTCTCCTCCGACGCTCTCGCCATCACCGAATCCGATCCTGCAACCTGAGTCCGATCTTCCAATTGCTCTTCGAAAAGGTATACATGAAACACAAAATCCTTATCTACATTATATTGATTTATGTTATCGTCGTCTTTCCCTTTTGCAGTATACTTGTTTGTCTTCTTTGTCTTCTGTTTCTATTTCTAACACTCCAGGTGAAGCATTATCTCACCCTGAGTGGAGGCAAACAATGATTGATGAAATGTGTGCTCTTCAAAGCAGTGGTACTTGGGAATCAGTTCCTCTACCCCATGGGAAATCTTTAGTAGGTTATCGTTGGCTTTATACAGTGAAAGTTGGTTCAAATGGTAAGATTGATCGATTTAAAGCTCGCTTGGTATCCAAATGATGCACTCAGATTTTTGGGTTGGATTATAACGATACCTTCTCGCCTGTAGCCAAGATGACATTTATTAGACTTCTTCTAACCATTGCAGCCATTCAACATTGGCCTTTTCATCAACTTGACATTAAAAATGCATTTTTACATGGTGATCTTGAAGAGGAAGTATATATGGAGCAACCACCTGGGTTTGTTGCTTAGGGGGAGTCATCGAATATGGTTTCTAGGCTACACATGTCTTTTTATGGTCTGAAGCAATCTCTGAGAACTTAGTTTGGTAGATTCATCATTGTAGTACAACAGTTTGGTTGGTCCGTAGTGAAGCTGACCATTCTGTCTTTTATCATCACTCAATCCAAGGGTGTATTTATCTTATTGTGTATGTGGATGATATTGTCATAACTGGTAGTGATGAGCAGCGAATGCTTCAGTTGAAACAACATCTCTTGAATCATTTTCAGACAAAAGATCTTGGTAAAGTGCGGTATTACTTGGGTATTGACATAGCCCAATCTAAAGATGGTTTGGTGATTTCTCAACGGAAATATGCTATGGATATTTTGAAAGAAACATGTTTGTTGAACGCTAAACCAACTGATACTCCTATGGATCCAAGTGTCAAACTACTACCCAATCAAGGAAAGCCTCTATCAGACTCGGGAAGATATAGGAGATTGGTTGGAAAATTGAATTATCTCACAGTCACTCGTCCAGACATTTCTTTTTGTAGTCAGTGTGGTAAGCCAGTTCTTAAATTCCCCTTGTTAGGAACACATGGATGTTGTTATCCTGATTCTGAGATACATCAAATGTGCTCTAGGAAAAAGTTTAGTGTATGAAGATAAAAGACATACTCAGATAGTTGGATACTCCATGCTGATTGGGCTGGGTCACTAATTGATAGACGATCCACCTCTGGGTATTGTGTATTTGTTAGAGGAAACCTAATATCCTAGAAAAGTAAGAAATAAAATATAGTTGCAAGATCAAGCGTCGAGGCAGAGTATAGAGTCATGGCAATGGTAACATGTGAATTCATTTGGTTAAAACAATTGCTCAAAGAACTTCAAATTAAAGAAGCAAGACCAATGACACTTGTATGTGATAATCAAGCTGCAATGCACATTGCTTCAAATTCAGTATTCTATGAGAGGACCAAACATATTGAGATAGACTGTCACTTTGTCAGAGAGAAGATTGAATCTGACGACGTCGTTATAAGCTTTGTCAAGTCTAATGATCAATTGGTATATGTGTTTACAAAATCTCTGCGAAATCCCAGAACTAATTATATATGTGGTAAGTTTGGTGCATTTGACTTATATGCTCTAGCTTGGGAGAGTGTTGATATTTGTAAATGTATAGTGTTGAAAATATTTGTATATAGAATAGTCTCACATCGATTATATCATATAATTAGTTGTAATCTCTCTCTATATAATAAAGTCTCCGTAGTATTTTTCAAAATACATGATTTAATCTAAATGTCTCTTAATCTCTCCTAATTTAATAAAGAGAATTCAATGTGCATAGGCCAAAATGACCGTCTGGAATGTGTTTTGGATTTTAAAATCCAAATATTTAAAAAAACATGTCCCAGTTCCTAAAATCCGAAGAACATTTTTAAGTCTTCAGGACTTCTTAGAGACTAGGTGAAAAGAAGTTCACAGGGATGAATCACACGTCTTTAGCCCATGCACAAATTCACCCCAACTCTAAGGCATATATTTGGAGGCTTCCAGAAGTTGTGCCGATATTTGAGGATTCCTCTTCCTATTAACTACTGTTCGATATTTTATGTTTCCTTAGGATACTCGAACTCCTAAGGGCGGGTCTCTTTCAAACAACTGTGTCGGGTCCAATAACAAATAACAAAATGAAACTAAGTCACAGCTAAAACAATACAACAATTGCATTAATAAAATGCTTCTCCATTAAATTACATCTTCCGAAGCTAAATGACTCATGGGGAATACTTATAGGAAACAATAAGATATGTCATGATCCAACAAACATGTCTAATAACATATTGTAAAAAGTAATGAATGTTGTTCCTTAAAACTTTATTGGAAAATTTGAAGACAAAAAATCAAAGATTAACTTCGTCAAGGGAGTAGGTCTTAACACACTTCAAGCAATTATTATACGAGTAAACTCTGCCTGGTGATAAATTTGCCACCACCATGCTCTCTCTATAATGTAGTCTCATTTTGGAATTTTGGTTTTGTGACCAAAGCCCAAATTCATGCAGATTTCCTTCTTTCCAACAGATGTTAACAGTCACCCCGCCACGAGCTTTTAATCCTTTCACACAACCACTTGCCCATTTATCACGAGGCAACGCGGGAAGTAAGTAGAGGTCTTTTGTTGTGCTTTGAACAAGCATTTCTGCAATTGCTGATGAAAAACTGACACCAAACAATAATGATTTTCTCAGCCAAATAAATTCAAAATTACGAGTACAATTGCCTAGTTTCATCACACCAAAGATTTCTAAGGGAACATATTTCAGCTCATGCTTTCATATAATGAATGTGAAACCGACAGGGTACAGAAACATTATGGTTAAAAGTTTGGTTGGGACTTACCCGAAGTTTGCATCAATTTGGAATGGAGGATGTGCTGTGAACAGGTTACTGTAAAGTCCTCCTTCGTAATTTGCCTCATGCTCAGGGTCCACCAAGATAATCAAGTGTTTTATCATGCGATATGCATGCTCACCGTTGTGAAGGTGAGCCCACAATGCAGCTTTCCAAGTTGTTGACCATCCGGGACCATCCTCTCCTGTAACAATGCAAGAATGACAGTTACCATTGAATTATATAATTTCAAAGTATTATAGCCGAAAAAATTCAGCCTTATGGCATTCTGGCATACAAGGATGAGCATGAACATGGTAATTCCTAATTTGATAAGATAATATAGTTGTTGTGATAGTTTTCTCGTAAAAAACCTCTTTTAATTAGACTATTATCAACAGCTTTACAGAGATCTGGAGTTTTTTCAAGATCTATTGTGTGCCCAGGAAACAAGCCAAACAAATGTGAAACATGTCGATGATTTGGCTCTGGGTCCTGGAAATCTTCAGCCTGTCAAATAAATAAGGTGTTAAGTTTAACATGGAATTGCCAGACTACAATCCGAGTTTGTCATTAAAAATTAGAAGAAGAAATTAGATGAAATTCACTAGACAAATTGACATGACGGAAATGAAGAAAAGGAGTGCTACTAATATTGAACATAATTGCATACCCATTCCATAATGGATCCATCCCTAGCTATTTTTGTAGGAGGAAGCTTAGACTGAGACGCAATTACTCTTTTGATAATAGCATCATCATGTCTTCCCAAAACCTGGTTTTGAAAAACTCAGTAACCAAGATAGAATTAGGATAGGTAAAAACTAGTGCCTAATTCCAAAAAAAAAAAACTATTGACTAGTAATGGTTTGAGAACTAAGATAAGTTCACCTCAGCGGCAGAAACAACTATAGAGAAAACTTCTTTTATGATTGAAATGTCCATGGTTGATGAGTAGCTCACACTAGCTTGCTTTTGATCTGGTGCAATGAACATGTGCTCTGGTGAAGTTGATGGGTTAGTTTCCAATAGTCCACCAGGGCCTTCAATCAACCAATCCAACAAAAATGATGTACATCCTTCCAACAAAGGATATGCTTTATTTTTTAGAAATTCCTAATATAAAAGAAAAATCAAGCATTATGTTCCGAATATCTGGAATGTGTATATGTAATAGCACAGCCGATAGAGCAAATCCAGTTTAAGAAAACAGTAGTTAGTTGCACCCAAAAAAAGACGTATATATGTATCATTATAGTTAGGGGTGTTCAAATCCAAACCAATCCAAATAAAAAACCGAAAACCGATCCAAAAAACCGAAAACCATAAAAAACCAAAAGTTATTGGTTGTGTTTGAATGTTATTTTATGAAAACCGATCGGTTCGGATTGAATTTCGGATGAATTTTTCAAAACCGATCCAAATCAAACCGAACCGCATAAATATATTTTGTTACTTATTTACTTTTTATTAGTATGACATGTTATGTGAATTTATTATTAGATGATAATAATTTTTTTAATAATATTTATTAGTTTGGTATAATCTATTTATTTTTATTATTTCAAGCATAATTAAACACTCTCATTTTGTAATATTAACTTTTAATATACTATGGGTTATATATTATATCAAATCTATGATTTATTAGTAGTTTTATAATATTAATAAAAATATAATGTGTAATTTGGATATCCAAAAACCGATCCAAATTAAACCGCATAAAATTGGATCGGATCAGATTGGATTTTTTTAAATATATCATCCAAAACCGAACCGAACCTTAAGTGAATTACTCTTTGGATCGGATGAGTTTTTGCTTTAAAACCGATCCAAACCGAACCGCGAACACCCCTAATTATAGTATCTAGTATATTATATTTTCCACCCCTCAGCAGACTGTATCCTTTAATTGTTCCATGATTATAATCTCAAAGGTTTGTTGATACTTGATAACGACAGCAGTAAATAAGTTGCACCCTTACACCCATAAAATGAAATATGAAATTTTATATACTATTTTACGGTATTCAACAATGATTTAACAGCAGTCTCCTAAAAATATTAATCATCATAGTAAACAAGGTATTTCGTTGGACTAAAACCAGCTTGAAATCTCATTTTGTAAATAAAAAATAATAACCAAAAATCGCTCAGAGTAGAACATTTATTGTTCTGCAAATTTAATAACTCAAGGGAAATCTATGCCTGTAGATCGCCCTTTACTAATTTAGCTGTTTTTGCGATATTACTATTTTTGAGTCAATGAGATTAAGGCTCGGATAGTTTCTTAAAAAAACCAGAGCTTACTTTGTCCATTGTATAAGTGTAATGCTCCCATAGATGGGTAGCCAACCAAGCTCCACCCATTGGCCATAAAGCCCAAACAGCCATACCTCGATCTGGGGATGTTTTAACCCATAAGTCAGAAACCTGATGTGCAACCCAACCATTTGCTTCATAGTTCACCTGCATGCCAGATCAAATGAAATTCTGAATAACTGAGGAAACTAATACGGTCTAGGAGATGAGAGCCTAGTCTCTTCCAACCAACCCAAACAAAAAACTGCCCAATTGCATGCAGTCCCATTTCTATCCTTCTATTTAAAACACACAATTACTTTAAATCAGGCCTAATTACTCGGGCCTGCGCCTAACATACACTTGACTAATAGGTGGTCTACTAAAAATTTACCGATAGCTGACAAGCATAATTATAAACGATTTCTTTCTTACATAGAATGTCAAGAGTTATATGAAAGAAAGAGTAAACAGAGAAAATACCTTTGCGGTTTTACTACCATTGACTGACATAGAGGAAATGTAATCAAATAATGGCTCTTGACACTCACGTAGGTTGCAAGAAAGGGATGGCCAATAATTCATTTGAAGATTTATGTTCAAGTGCTGAGCCCCACTGGATGACAAAAAAAAGAGACAAATTATTAAATCTCGTGAATTCTTTAAAAAATTACTTCTAGATAGTTTATTAGATACTCCTTATCCATATAGAAAAGTCTAAGCCATTTTATTTCTAGAGGAGGGGTGAAAATTGAAGGGAATACATACTCCCATGCAGGTGAAAGATCTTTGTTCCAAATACCCTGTAGGTTTGCCACCTGAGTTCCAGGACGTGAACAAGCAATTAGTAGATATCGACCATATTGAAACAAAAGCTCCACAAAGGAAGGATCTTCATCATTTCGAAATGATTCGACTCTTGATGAAGTTGGAACAGTATCATCACCTCCCAATTGAGAGATATTAGTCTTGGAACTTTTAGAGAGTTGCAACGTGACCCGATGAAATAGATGCTGATAATCATCCAAATGACGTGCATATATATTATCATATGAAAAGCTTTTCACAGACTTCATTTGACTCAAGGACTCGGAAGTAGGATCCTTCTTAGAGTCTTTAGGATTAATAAATGGACCATCAAAAGTAGAGGAAGCTGTCAGAAGTAAAATAGCCCAGTCTGCACCTTCAACTCTAAGCTTCTTATCATCCAAAGCATGTATAATTCCTTTGCCATTACTAATCTGCAGATCAAGAACTGCACAAAACTGAATTCCCTTTGGTTCGCCATTGGGATTGAGGTGTGGCGCGATCCTTTTGACAGGACAACTTCCTTCCAATATTATCTGATTTTGGCTGTTTAACCGTGAATTGTGATGTAATTTGCTATCCAAAGATACTGTAAACGATAATGACCCTGACTTGCTAGTGGAAAACTTTGCAACTAGCACTTGGTCAGGATGAGAAGAAAAATGCTCTCTGGTAAATTCTACATCACCGACATTGTATTTTATTTTTGCTGTTGCAGTATCCAAATCCAGCTCCCTGCGATAAGACTCCTCCGAATATTTAAGATGAGCATCATCGAACTCTAATTTAATATCGCCAAGGAGTTGGTATACCTTCATTTAGAAAGAAAAAAAGAGGCAGTCATGACTTTCCACATTTTATACAAGGTTTCCTTAACGTATGCACCAACACATTGTAAATAACCTACGAATAACAATACTAGTAGAATGAAAGCATGTATGTGATTTATGTTGTAGAAAAATAGCAACTACTTGGATTCGTCGGTTTATATATCATATTCCTTGGTTATCAACCCCTAACATAAATTGCAAAAAAAGGGCTATAACAATTTACAGTATGTTACATACTTCAGAAGGAATTCCTGACAATTTCTCAGCTGCTGTTGTAGCTTCGGGATATTTACGGTCATCAACAAGTTTTCGAACTTCCGCCAGCACCTCAGGAGCATTTTTGTCGGTGTAGTTGCCAGGTACTCCAGTCCATAGCGTGTCCTCTATGAAAAAAAGAAATTGAACCCTCGTGTTAGTAAGTTTTATTTTAGAAGAATCAAACACTTCAAAATAGGAATGTAAATTTGATCTAAATGAGCTGCATTTACCATTGAGGTGTAGAACATCAGTTTGAACACCACCCGAGACCATGGCACCAAGTCGGCCATTACCGATTGGGATTGCGTCGGTCCAGTACTTAGCAGGGGTAGAAAAAGTAACCTTCAATGGGCTTGAAGGTTGATCGGCATTTGGTAAAGATGGTTTCCACAAGTGTTTATGTGAGGGAGCGCGCACCAGAACCCAATCTCCATCTTCCATTATCGTGAAAGGAAGAGAGTGAGGTGAATGAACAAAGAAACGTGACTCTAGTGGTTGCTTGTCAGTGTTTGCTTGAAATGAAGAAAATTAACATTTAAAGTTGTGAGGGTCCACTTTGTTTCACGTCACGGACCTTTCTATTATGGCCTTAGCCTCGGAAAAGGATCTGAAAACAGAGTTTATATGAAAATGAGTTGTCTATTTTTTTTGGCAAGAAAAGAAAGTCATTTTTCAGTTCAATGTATTTTAATGGATTTCGGGAACAAATTTTGGATGAAAGGAAAACATGTATTCAAGGAAGTAATCAAATGTCTAACTAAAAATCTAAAAGAGAAGTGGAATATGAATTTCGTTTTTTAGTGGGATATATATATATATATATATATATATATATATATATATATATATATATATATATATATATATATATATATATATATATATATATATATATATATATATATATATATATATATATATATATATATATATATATATATATAATCATTAAAATCGTCAACATTCAATCATCAACTATTTATCTATTAAAATAAACTACATCAAACTATCAATAATATCCTTTATTTTAAATTTTTTTACACTTACAAAAAGTTAAAATAGTAAAAATTTAATTATTTTTTTCAATAACCATGTATTAAAAAAAAATACATCAATAAACATCTTTTTGAAAAAACTACATAAATATATGTGTTTCAGAATTGGTATAAATGGTTCAGTCATATGAAATAGCACATCCATTCAAATTTTTAAAGGAGGCGCCAAATAAGATGGCGTCTAGGTGCATCCATTTTGCCATAAGTCATCTCAGATGGTGTCTAAGAGCAATTTATTTATTTATTTCGATTTTTTAATAAATAAATGATAATTTCGTCGCAAATGTGACTTCGATTTTCAATAATAATGAAACAATTACATAATGGGGATAAAAGTTACATATTATTTAGTTGTCTCCCGGGACTCGATAACGACATGTGGTTTCGCACCCGCATCCTCGCCTAACTTGTTGTGTGACTCGACGATTTTCTTGTTGCGGTTGGGCCCTGCGAAGTCAATGCTTTCAACGTCCATGAAATCCATCAGATCACCATATCTGAAATATCTACTTTCAAACAATTGGTTATTCATGCCCTCAAATTTTGGTCATATTGGTGGGGGATGGGGTTCCATAGGTGGTCGATAACACTGATCGTCTGAATAAAGGGGTAAAAAAGAAATGAATCTTGTGGAGTTTGGTACTCATATGTTTGTTGGGTGTTATTGTAATGTGATGGTTGATGGTATGTTGGGTCGATTGGGGAATATTCTTCAGGTAGGCCGTGTCTGGGCTAAGGTGAGATGATGAGGGGCCCATATCGGGATGTCAGATGTATGGTCTTTGTTTTGGATCCTATAATTATGTGTGGCCATATGTGCGTATTGGTATGGGCTTAGGTATGGGGTTGGGTGCTTGTGGATCTGTAACAATGTTGTGTTAGTTTAGAGGTTGATGTGTGTTGGGTTTGTTAGTGGGTGGTGTATGATTGTTGGTTGTTGGGGATTTGAGGATGATACCTATAGTGTGCGTGTGTCGATCAAATACCTCAAGTCAGACACAAACATATCAGGGTTAGTAATCGATTTGTACTATGGCTGGAAATGAGTCGAGTCGAGTCGAACTCGCCTCAGCTCAGTTCGTCTCGTTAAGAATTAGCCAAGTTCGAGTTCGAGTTCATCATTAACTTTTTCTTCAGCTCAAACTCGACTCATTAAAAATTGGCTGAGTTCGAGTTCGAGTTTATCACGAACTTTTTTTCCAGCTTAAACTCGACTTGTTAGAACAATCTTATTTAAAACAATCTTATTTGTCCTTATTGTATTTACAAGAATTAAAGACAATATTTATAGCTTTCATATAATATAAGTATCATCTCAAAATAAAATTTGTAATTCAAGATATTATCATCAAAAATAGGTAATATGAAATTGACTCTTTGTATGTTTGGATCTAAGTGATGAAATTCTTAATACAATTGCAACAGAATTGCTGAAACTGGTGTGATATTTTGATTTGAATTATTGTGTATGATGTGGGTTGAGAATCATAGGAATTTACATGTTTTAATATGCTTACAAAACTAATTTTTGGTGGAGAATGTTGAAATCTCATAGTAAAAAAAATATTGGTTTTGACTCTGTAAGAGTGAGGTAATCGGTTACCTCAGGATGACAATCGATTACATCATAAAAAAATTGAAAAAGAGGCATTTTCGTAACTTAAAAATCATTATTCTTTCAAATTAAATTTATTTTTCTTTTATATTTCTTACTCTTTTCATTTCATTATTTTATCTTTTCTACCTAATTATTTTATTTTTTCGTAATTGTTTTTAATATATTAAAATGTATAATTATAATATATGTTTACATATTAAATATTTATTGGTGTATAAATATATACAATGTCGGTATTTAGTTTTGTTTTTATGATAAATTTAACCAATTCTATTTATTTATTATGATTGAAAATATTAATTAATCAATCTATATTAAACTTTAATAAAATTAAAATTTTATTTTATGAAATTAGATAATACTAAATAGTCATACGCACAATTAACTTTCTATCTCATGGATCACTATAAAAAATATATCTATTTTATTTTATTTGAGATATAAAATTCTTATTTTTAAATGTAAAAATTTCTTTTTTTTTTCTTATAAGTCACTATCAACAAAATACCTATTTTATTTTAATTAACAATTGTCTTTATTTGAGACACAAAATTCTTATTTACAAATGTCAAAATTTCTTTTCTTTTTTTTACCGTGGGTCACTATTAGTAAAATATCTATTTTATTTTAATTAATAATTGTTTTTATTTGAGACACAAAATTCTTATTTTTAAATGTTAAATTTCTTTTTTTTTTCTCACGGAGCACTAAAAGCAAAATATATTTTTTATTTTCATTAAAATTATCTTTATTTGATACACAAAATTCTTATTTTAAAATGTCAAAATTTTTCTTTTTCTCATGGGACACTATCAGCAAAAATACATTTTTATTTTAATTCACAATTGCCTTTATTTGAGACACAAAACTCATATTTTTCAAATGTTAAAATTTATTTATTTTTTCACGGGTAACTATCAGCAAAATAGCTATTTTATTTTAACTAACAGTTGTCTTTATTTGAGACAAAAAATTCTTATTTTCAAATGTCAAAATTTTATTTTTTATCCTTTCTCCATTTTAGAGACATTTTTTTCTTCTTTTTTGTATAATTATTTAATAGAATTGAATTTATATTATCACTATTCGTTTTATAATTAAATACTTCATTTTAAATTTACATGTATATCTAAATATGTGAGATATTAGAATCGAACTCTAGTATGATCGAAGGTAGCTTCTTGATTTCGACAGTTCGATAGAGTTTTAGCATGCAGTCGAAGGTTGCTCACATGTTGTTGTCGAAGTAGTGTATGTTGTAGTCGAAGAAGGGTCAAGCATGCAGTTGCTGAAATGCTAGGTCTGTTAGCACGTTAAATTGGGTCTGTTTGTTATGTACAAATGTGGTTAGTCACCAGCGGGTAGCCCGTGCATTTGTAATTTGTTGAGATTAGTGGATTAAGTCCTTGTTGAAGGCGAAATCACCTTGGCGGGTGAACAAGAGTAACCTTGTTGAAGGTGAACTTGTATAAACCAAAAGAATCATTTTATTCTTTTCTTAGCTTTATTATTTTTAGTTAGTTTACAAAAATATTTTTAGAGAAAAAGTTTATTAGAAAACCTTATTCAACCCCCCCCCCCTATTTCTTGTGTTTTTCTTACCCTTCAATTGGTATCAGGAGCTGCGGATCTTTATTGATTTGCAAATCAAACACTTAACTATATAGAGATATTCAGTTGAGAAAAACATCATATGACTATTCCTGCAAACACAAACAAAAAAGATAACTATTTTACTAAACCTCCTATTTTTGATGGAGAAAGATTTGAGTACTGGAAAGACAGACTAGAAAGTTTCCTTCTAAGTTATGATGCATATCTTTGAGATATGATTACTAATGGTTATACGGAACCTATATCTCAAGAAGGTATTCCTATTCCCAGAAGTCAAATGAGTGAAGATCAGAAACGACGAAGCAAGAATCATTATAAAGCTAGAACCATTCTTCTGAGTGTTATCTCATATAATGAATATGAGAAAATCACCAGTAGAGAAACAACTAAGGATATTTTTTATTCATTAAAGATGACTCATGAAGGGAATGCTCGAGTAAAGGAGACTAAAGTGTTAACTTTAGTTTATAAATATGAAGCATTCAAGATTGAAGAAGATGAAACTATTGAGACTATGTTCTCGAGGTTTCAAACCTTAGCAGCAAGACTCAAAGTTCTGGACAAAGGATATACAACAGCGGACCACATTAAAAAGATCTTCAGAAGCCTTCCAAAAATTGGAGATTTATGGTAACAATTTTGAAAATTTCTAAGGACCTGACCAAAATCATTTTTGAAGAGTTGATTAGCTCCCTACAAAGTCACGGAATAGAGTTGGAGGAAGATGAACCTCATAAAAAGGTTAAGCCTATCGGTTTAAAGTGCAAATAAAAAATGATCAAGTGAGGAAGACTCAAAGCTCTCAAATCTGAAGAGGAAGAAGATTTGGGTGATGAATATTCTGATGATGATGGTGAATTTTCATTACTTTCTAGAAGAGTGAAACAACTCTGAAAAAGACAAAATAATTCTAGAAGATTCATAAGAGATCGCTCATATTCCTTTTCAAAGGGGAATAAAGAAGTCATGTGCTATGAATATAATGAACCAGGACATTATAAAAATGAGTGTCCAAAGTTAAAGAAATAAGGTTTCAGAAATGAAGGTTTGTTGTACCCCAAAATTTGGCCTCTCTTTTCTCAAGGAATCACCCTAGGATCCTCAAGTTCGCTTCTATCCAATTCCAAGCCTTGAATTATCATTTTTTCCAAGCA